AGCCTATAAAATGATTGGTAATATAAGAACGGATCCTTATTCGGATAACTTGTAATCCACAACCAGATTATCATGACTAGAAGTTGTTAAATACAGGTTACCTCATTTTAATTGAAACAATATCGGATATTTAAGTTTATTAATTAATTAAAAACGCGTGAACAATGGTATAGAATGAAAGAGACACACAAGGAGTAAATAAGTAGAAAAATTCATTGTCATATTAGGTTTAGTTGACGGAATCGAAACTGAATTGTTATGGTGAAAGACCACTGAAACTGTCGAGATAAAGATAACCGACATGACCAGTTGGTTGACAATCTGCTGCCAGAACTGTTAATTGGAAATTATGGCCGAAACGAGTGTTATCAATGGCTAAGTGTTCCGATTGCCAAGCAGGTGTATAAAAATAATCATCTTTTTGTTGAAAGCGACTATCAACACCATTTCCTGTTGCTCCAGCATCATAACGACGTAAAATTAAATTTTCATTTGTAGTCAGATCATTTAATTGAACAATAATTAAACTTGATTGATTCGATGAATGATTTCCATTTTGTAAAACAGCCAACCATGAAAAATAAATATCCAAACAATAATAATTGTTGACTTGTCGACTAATCACTGATGCATAACCTCCTTTGACCAAATCCTCGACGCGAAACGAGTATTGACCACCTTCAACGATACCTGGCATTAAATTACCAAGAATTGGATCACTTCCATTAGTGACAATTGATGAATGTGATAATGCGATGGTGGAGTTAAAAAGTTTTCCACCTGGTAAAAGGTATTCGGGCAAAATTTCAGATGAGGAGACTGATGTTCGTATACCACCACCAATAGTCCAACCTGAGGTAGTTCCAGATTCAAAATCACCATTATCGAAACTAACCAATGAGCATGCTGAGAGAAAAAAAATCAAAGATCTCTGAAAATTAGTTCGGGAAAGAATAAAGAACGCACTCTGACAGAATTTAACTCGACATTGATCACTTAAACAGTCCACACTAGTATTGCAAGCTTTACCATTGCCGCATTTCGGACAAATCGTGCCACCACAATCAACATCAGTCTCATCTTGGTTCATTATTTGATCTTGACAGGAAGGTGATGCTGAAACGACACTAACTTCTTAATCTAAAATAAACAAGAGTTGAATACTTACGAATGCACTCGTTGTTAATACAAACACCGCTGAGACAGTCACTACGAATATTGCAATGCTGTGTATCGTGACATTTTAGACAAATGCTTCCTCCACAATCAATGTCCGTCTCGTCTTGATTTTGAATTTGATCCCAGCACGATGGTGATGCTGAAAGTACAACATTTCTTATGTATCGAACAAAGACGATTATTGACACTCACGAATACAGATGTTGTTAATGCAAATATCACTAAGGCAGTCTTGAGGATAAGTACATTTCTTCATATCCGGACATTTTGGACATGTGCGTCCTCCGCAATCAATATCCGTCTCATCTTGATTTTGAATTTGATCCAAGCATGAAGGTGATGCTAAAGAGAGACGGTTTGTTCTATATGGTCATCAAGTTGAAAGTGAGTAATACATACGAATACATGTATTGTTAATACAAACATCGCTAAGACAATCACATGAAGCATTACAAGTCTTCATATCCTGGCATTGATGACAAATACGGCCACCACAATCGATATCAGTCTCGCCCTGATTCCGAATTTGATCTCGACACGAAGGCGATGCTGAGATAACACAAAATGGTGTCGTATGAAAAGACAAGACGGTATAGTACTTACGAATACATGTACTGTTAATACAAACATTACTGAGACAATCATTGGGGGAAGTGCATTTTTTCATATCTCGACATTTAGGACAATTGAGACCTCCACAATCAATGTCAGATTCATCTTGATTTTTCATTCGATCAGTACAACATGGTTCTATAGAATATAGTATCACCTCAAAATATAAATCTCAGTCTCAATCATACCCTTTTGTCTCGGTTTATGTCCTTCTTCTGAACTCGAAGAATCAATCGTTATCGTGATTCTACCGTTAACGACGACGAAATAGGGAAATAAACAAAACACCAGCAAAATCAATGATGTTGAACTGTAGATAAGAAAAAAAAGAAAAGATGTCGAACATAGCAGTAATCAAATCAAAACTTATTACCTGAATACGATCATTTGAACGACAATTTTCTATTGTGATTTAATCTAAAAAACAATTTTATTGAGGAATTTTTCGATATTGTACATATTTTTGTGTTTGATCTTTAAAATTCGTATCGACGACGACGAAAAAGTTTTTTTTCGTCTTTAACTTTCACATCTGATCACAGTATGTTTCAGATTTACTTCAAAAGTTATAGAGGGTGTGATTTACAGGTGAATGTTTGGTTGAATTTTTTGTAGAAAGATCAACATTTAAGCAACATTCTCTTTTTTCAAAAAATACACACCAACCAGTTCGACGCGCTTCTAGAAAAAAACATTTTAACCTACTTTCTCTTCCACACGAAATACTCGTGATTTAAAAACAAGACAAAAAGCAATATTTCGCCTTGAACTGCTGTGTATTCGTACAAGTTTGTGTGCTCAGCATGAGTAATCCCAATGATTGTGCTACATAAATATCTATGACGAAAATAGAACTGAAATTGCAATTTTCGCGGTTGCTTTTTTTCCACCAAACAAAACATTTCTAGTCCGCGAAAGAAACGCTCACATTTATTTTCTTCTCTTCTGTCAATGGGTTTCCTTTGCAATGAATATATTTCTACGGTTACTTTCTTTTTTCATACATACAGAACAAACTTGAAAACATCTATTCGACACAATGTTTACTTAAAGACAAATTTCGATGCGAAGTGCGATTAAAATTCAGAATTCCTATCCTCGATTTTATTAATCATCCATTGTTTGATCATATTCATCACACTTCTTTGTCTATGTAAGATTTACTAATTAACGTTGACATGTTATTATCTTGTTAAAACGAGTCTTTATATAAAATGAGAGAAAGTATCTGATTGTGAATAAATAATAAAGACGAAGGCGGTAGTTACACTTCATTTCAAGTGCTTCGATAACAAGTCATTAATTTCTTTCTCTTGGGTTAGAGAAAATGGCATTTTCGATAGGAGAATTAGATGTAACTGCACATGTTCGATAGAATAATTTGAATAATATTTAAAGAGTCTATGTGCTGATAAAGTCTCAAACTATTATCTTCGATTCTCAAATGAACATCGTTGCACTAGAATCCGATTTGGAAACCAATTTTTCTTCATCAGTTCTCAATTATCTCTTCAGATTTAATCAGTTTTCCTTTGAATCTAATATAAAAGTGAAACTTAGATTCGAATATTAACTATCATGGTCGGGTAAGAATTTTTAAATCTGAAACGAAACCTTTGATACATTTTCATAGATTTAAATTGTTACTTTGCATGATGATCGCTCATTCTTATTATCTAACTTTTGTTCAAACTCGTATAGTTATCACGGTTGATTCATCGAGCTCTGAAGAATCTCGTCCAACGAACGACGAAGGTTTGTTCTATTTAGAATTTCTTTGACTCTCCTTAGTCATTCTTTTGCTTTTTATAGTTATTCATTGTGCGGATCGGATACGAAATCAAGATGAGTCTGATATTGATTGTGGCGGTCTCGAGTGTCCAAGATGTCAAGACTTATTGCGTTGTAAGACATGCTATGATTGTATGAGTAATCTATGTCAAAACAACGTATGTGTCGGTAAGTTTTGTACCATTCTTCTGTCATTTACATTAATAGTAAAACTAATATGCCACAAAAATATATTGTGGCTCGCATCTAACATTTCTCTCAATTCTCACTACTAAAGCAAATTGAAATTTATCAAGATATATACGACTTTATAATTAGGTCAAACCGAATGCGATCCTTGTGAATGGAAATAACAAATTTTTTATATTTATCCTCATAATTGTTTAGTGTATGACTCATGGAATAGATACTAATTGAAGTGATGCTCTACCAAGATATTTCAAATATTAATGGATCGATTGACTTGTTCTGTAATCTCTAATAGGTACACCGCGAATAGATACAACAACCACTACGATCGTTACGACGACTCAATCAACTACTCCTTCACCTATAAGTACAACTACCACTAAGCCCATCACTACACACACGCTACCAACGATGTTGTTCACAAACACAACTTTAACAACTACGAGAGTAATCTCAGAAACTTCAACGACCACCTCAATCATTCTAGAATCGACTACATCCACCAGATTAACCAATTCAGAACCGAGCACAACAACTGCTTCAAATACTTTAGGACCTAGTACCACTACCACTTCTAGCACTCTGGAATGGATCACGTCCACCACTTCGGTCGCTCCAGAGTCGAGCACTACGACTGCTTCGAGTACTACATCTACTTCCAACGCTGCAGAGAATAGTACCACGACTACTTCAATCGTACCAATTACAAATACAACTTTAAGAACGTTAGAGCCCACCTCGACAACTTCAACCTCAATATCAATGTTACCGTCGGTAAATACGACTTTAACAACGCTGATTGTACCATTGGAAACACCGTCGAGGAACTCGGGTGTAACCCATTTTAGCGCGTCGCATAGTTTCTCTATTGCTCTATGCATATACACGACAGTTTCCGTATGTGTGCCTTGGTTTTTCGGTCTCGTATGACAGATTTTCATTCACGAACTTGCCTTCTTTCGTCACAATGCACCCTTCCTTTGTTGGCGCTAAACTGCGCGATGTTCTCATTCATACCTAGGATAATCCAAAAGTATAGTGAGGAACACGTATTATTGTGTTATGAAGTCTCAAAAAACTCTTTTCACCGCAGTGAATAGAACGTCTTTCGTTCTAATCTATTTATTGTAAAATCTGAATGAATCTTGTAAAAAGAAAGGAGATACATTTCCAGACGCAGCGTGAAACAAGAATGCCACTTTGCTTTTTTTCACTTGATCCTATCAAATGAACATCATTGCACATATCAAGAAACAAATGGTTAAGGTTTTATGAAGACATTTAAGCATATACTCTGATCACTTAGAAGTGTCTCAAATCACTGTCTATTGAGTAGGTCTGTGTTTTGTTCTCTATTGATTACACATACAAACTCACAAGTAACGCAAAGTAACCGTTGCTAACCCTCTACCGGAAGTCGTGCTCTCATTCTCCATCTAAAGTGGGTATAAGTTATCAGTGTGAAGCTAGCACGAACAAACGATATGTTAGCTTAAAAAGTTTTTACTAAATAAATCCTGTCCTTGAAAATTATATCATTCGACTCAGAATTTAAGTCTGCATCGAAGGGTGATGTTTCTACTAACGGGACAGACTTTGGAAAAATGTCTACCTATATCTTTGTTTTTCTCCTATAGGTCTATTTATTATGATCCAAATAAAGTTTCTCCAAAGTTTGTCTTGTGAGTAGAAACATCACCGTTCGATGCAGACTTAAATTCTGAGTTGAATGATATAAATTCCAAGGACGAGACTTATTTAGTAAAACAAGCTTTTAGCTAACACATCGCTAATTCGTGCTAGCTTCACATTGATGTACAAATTCATCAGACAATTGTATAAAAACCTTGCCTTGGAGAACTCATTGTCATGTTCCAAATAATTCTAGGAAATGCAGCTCTACATCAACAACCCAGGTAAAAAATTCGATGGTGGATCCGATCGGATCCGTCGAATTCCTGTAGGATCTGATAAAATCCTATATAGAATCTGATGGAATCCGAGTATTGGATTGTTCGACCTGGACTGAATAATTCATAAGATTCATTTTTTTAATTTAATGTTCTCACAACTTTTGAGCAACCTTAAACGTTGCCCTTCAATATTAGCTATAAAACATTAATCAAATAACTCAATAGATGTATGTTTTTAAAAAAGAAAAAAAGTGTAATGTTCTGTTAGATAAAAACTTTTTCGGTTTAATCCTATGACAGATTTATCAAATATAGAATACGTATAGGAAAACAAAGAAATTTATTCTAATCTACGTCAGAAAAAAGTTAGATAGGGAACAATTATATATGATAACTGTTCCAATTTACGTCAGCAACTATGTAAACAGGAACAACTTCATTTGTTCATTTTTTTATCAGAGGTTTTTACGAATGAAAACGCCTACAGATACTTTCAAAGGAAAAGAGGAAAAGAAAAAAGGCCAGTATAAATATGCATAATTGTATCCTTTTTTTTTATTGTGTAAAATACGCAACAAAAATGTTTCAATTGAATAATCTATTCTGTTGGATTCTGATCCGTTTAACTGTTGCTACGCCACAAGTCAATCTTCATTATACACACTGGATAAATACCAATGTTAATAATGGATCACAACATGATTGCTTACGTGTTCTTACTCTTATCGAAGAAAGTCAATATCATCATCAAATAATGTTATATTGTATGGAAGAATTATTATTAGAATTTCATTTTGAAACGAAGAATATTTTATTTAAAAATTTTACTTTTGAAGAACTTTCAAAACAACGTATTACAAGTCAGCAATTATATGAGTGGTCAACACCAGTGGACATTATTGAAGATTATCAATCTTATTTAAATGAATTATCAACATCATCATCATCGTCGTCGTCTTTAGCAGCACAAGTTTTCTATAATTGTACATTACCAAGATTCGGTTCAATGTGCCAATATGAATTATATAATTATCATGAAAATTATTTATCTTTATATGAAATCATTTATGATTTTTATCATAATTATGAATACTATCCAAAAATTGTAACTTGCTATACACATTTAGCATGCTATCGTGGTCCTTATCCATCATGTTTAGATTGGAGTGAAATTTGTAATGGAAAAGTTGATTGTCTCGATGGTGAATTTGATGAAGAACATTGTTGGCAACTTGAAATGAATAAATGTCAAGATAATGAATTTCAATGTCCCAATGGACAATGTATACTGGAATCATTTATTCAAGATAATATCAATGTTAGTTATTGTCTTGACGAAGCTAATGATTATCATCGATCTAGCCTCGGGTTTACTCACTGTGAAATGACAGAACCATCATTTAATTGTGAAGATATAAGACGTAATGAAAAGTTTTTGACAAGTTCGTATTTCTCGCAACGAGAGGATGTTTTATTACGTGCCATGTTTTCTATCAGGTATATTTCTATATCTGATATTTGTTGGCTTTCATGCATATGTAAGATCTACTGGAACCTTTTACGCGATTCGATTTGTTACAATTATTGTTCTAACGGTGAATGTAATGATGTTATAGAGAGAGAATGTCCAGACATGATGTTCATTCCAGTTATTCCAGTTTTATTTGGTCATATTTATTTTGCGTATAGAAAAAATCATTCAAAAATTTCAAGCAATTCAGATTTCGGTTACCCTTACGTATGTTATAATAATTCAATTTATGATAATTATTTTATCAATGCAACAAAAGTATTCTTCAATAATACAATATGTTATTATCGTAAAAATAGACTTTTTCTATATCCTTCATTACAAGACTGGCATAGACAGTATTTATTACCCTACTATCGTGATCTTTGGGAATATCATTACATGTCAAAATATAATCAAAGTTCTAATTATATCTCTAGAATGTGTAGCAATTCAAATATTTATCGATGTAATAATTCAATTCAATGCATTTCCATGGACAAAATTATGAACAAAGTCATCGATTGTCCTAATGGAGACGATGAAAATATACTTTATGTTGGTAATATTATTTTACCGGATCAGGCCATAGGTACTTTTGGTACGTATCCGGAAAACATAAAAACGATGCTTCGATATGTCAGAAAACATATTTTATTTCAAACAATTTGTGACGGATTCGTTGAATTATCACCGATACTTATTGGTGAACAAAATCACACAGATGAAACAGAATGTGAACAATGGCAATGTAATAATATCTATACTCATTGTGATGGTTTATGGAATTGTCTTGATGGCGCGGATGAAATCGGCTGTGATTCATCTTCATTATTAAATTGTTCTCCGAATGATCACATATGTATTTCGCCTCATACAAAACAATTCATGTGTTTACCTATTACGAAAGCAAATGACGGTAAGATCGATTGTATTGGAGCTACTGATGAAACATTACTATGTCAGCGTGGGCTGTATGCATTACACAATATAGATAATTTCTATTGTATAAAGGGAAACAGTGGTTATTGTATTCCATATTTATATCTATGTGATGGTGATCAAGATTGCATTGATGGAACTGACGAACAATTCTGTGAAAAAAATCGAACATATCCGGAATCTGTTGATTCTATCTGTGAATCATCCGTTTTACCATTGGCTTCTGATGTTGAGCAGTTTATATGCAACCGTATGAAAATCTTTGTGAAACGGCGCCTCATATATTTTTCACTGGACAGAATGCATCAAACAATCGATGACCAATCAAAACATATCGAAAACGGAATACAATTCAATTCAATTATGAATAAAATGCCACAACAAGTTCAACATAATTGTAATCGTGGTGTTAATTTACGTGTTTGGTTGAATAATGAGAATAGTTCAACACGAATTACATGTCTTTGTCCATCTAGTTATTATGGTGATAAATGCCAGTATCAAAATGAAAGAATAAGTTTAACACTACAAGTTCGAGTATTATCTGATTCTTGGCAAATACCATTTTCAATAATTATTTTACTTATTGATAATACTGATCAAAGAATAATTCATTCATACGAACAATTAAATNTTACTCACTGTGAAATGACAGAACCGTGATTTAATTGTGAAGATATAAGACGCAATGAAAAGTTTTTGACAAGTTCGTATTTCTCGCAACGAGAGGATGTTTTATTACGTGCCATGTTTTCTATCAGGTATACTTCTATATCTGATATTTGTTGGCTTTCATGCATATGTAAGATCTACTGGAACCTTTTACGCGATTCGATTTGTTACAATTATTGTCCTAACGGTGAATGCAATGATGTTATAGAGAGAGAATGTCCAGACATGATGTTCATTCCAGTTATTCCAGTTTTATTTGGTCATATTTATTTTGCGTATAGAAAAAATCATTCAAAAATTTCAAACAATTCGGATTTCGGTTACCCTTACGTGTGTTATAATAATTCAATTTATGATAATTATTTTATCAATGCAACAAAAGTATATTTCAATAATACAATATGTTATTATCGTCAAAGTAGATATTTTCTATATCATTCATTCGCCGGCTGGGATAAATACTATTTATTACCCTACTATCGTGATCTTTGGGAATATCATTACATGTCAAAATATAATCAAAGTTCTAATTATATCTCTAGAATGTGTAACAATTCAAATGTTTATCGATGTAATAATTCAATTCAATGCATTTCTAAGGACAAAATTATGAACAAAGTCATCGATTGTCCTAATGAAGACGATGAAAATATACTTTATGTTGGTAATATTATTTCATCAGATCAGGCCACAGGTGTTTTTCATGGGTATCCGGAAGACATAAAAACGATGTTTCGAGATGTCAGAAAACATATTTTATTTCAAACAATTTGTGATGGATTCGTTGAATTAGCACCAATACTTATTGGTGAACAAAATCACACAGATGAAACAGAATGTGAACAGTGGCAATGTAATAATATCTATACTCATTGTAATGGTTTATGGAATTGTCTAAATGGCGCGGATGAAATCGGCTGTGATTCATCTTCATTATTAAATTGTTCTCCGAATGATCACATATGTATTTCGCCTCATACAAACCAATTCATGTGTTTACCTATTACGAAAGCAAATGACGGTAAGATCGATTGTATTGGAGCTACTGATGAAACATTACTATGTCAGCGTGGGCAGTATGTATTACACAATAGAAATAATTTCTATTGTATAAAGGGAAACAGTGATTATTGTATTTCATATTTTTATTTATGTGATGGTTATCAACATTGCATTGATGGAAGTGACGAACAATTCTGTGAAAAAAATCGAACATATCCGGAATTTGGTGATTCTATTTGTGAATCATCTGTTTTACTATGGGGTTCTGATGTTGAGCAGTTTATATGCAATCGTATGAAAAACTTTGTGAAACATCACCTCATATTTTTTTCACTGGACAGAATGCATCAAACAATCGATGACCAATCAAAACATATCGAAAACGGAATACAATTAAACTCAATTATGACTAAAATGCCACAACAAGTTGAGCATAATTGTAATCGTGGTGTTGATTTACGTGTTTGGTTGAATAATGAGAATAGTTCAACACGAATTACATGTCTTTGTCCATCTAGTTATTATGGTGATAAATGCCAGTAT